GTCTTCAACTCCTTCAAAGACCACAGAAGGATAATATATAAACTCTAGAAATGACATAGACATCTTTCCTTGTCAGTCTCCTGAAGTTCTTCTGTAATCTTCCATCTTCAGCTCATTGGCCATAGTGTGTCTGGCAGACTCTTCAGCAAAGCAGGAAACTTTAAACTGTCTTCTTGTATCGGTAGTTTGTCAGTCATTTTTCTCTGTGTCCTGCAGACTTTCTGGTAGACTCTTCCATGAAGCAGGAACTCTGTAGCAATGTCTATCTTGAATCAGCAGTCACTTTTCTGTGGGCCCTGCATGTTCAGTTTACATAGCATAAAGTCAAACAGTCCAGACAAGAGCTCTATCTTGTCCAAATGGCTAGTCTTGCCATATTGGAAGTAAACTTTATAACGTGTTTCTTTAAAGTAGGCGGTGTTGCCAGGAGCAGTTATGTCTCACTGTCAAGAAAAACCCTAAACCATTTTAAATGCCATATTCTGCAGGTCTTTGAAAGGTTTGAGGAATATCTATCCATCTCAAATACATCTTGAAAACCTAACTAACTTAATTCTATGTTTTGACTATCATAATCTGTGTTAAATTATACATTACATTTCTAAATGAGCTATATAAACACAATACCTAAACAAGAGGAGAAATATACATATCACAAAATTTACCTTAAATTTGTATTAATAAATGAAAACCCATTCCAAAACAAAGTATTCATATCTATACCATAATCCCCTTTTTAACCTTTAAAAAGAATTGGCTGTGATCATTAACCATTTATAACCAACTCCATTTAAATGTAAACAAACATTTATAAACAATATTTGGGAATTTGGGTGTCGTTCCTCCCAAACTACTTCTTGCTGATATGGGGCGCTGTTATCGGGACCCGAAGAAGATGCAGAAATCCTGGCTGTAGTCTGCAAGTCTGTCTTGTTTAAGTTGGTTTGAATGTTGGATCACATGGTACTCTGTTTCAGGGGGCTGGCTTGCTCAAACCACATTAGTCTGGAAGGAATCCACAGCTTTTCATTTTCTGTGGAAACAAAAATAGAAATCCTTTTCCCCAGTAACTTGTCCTTAGACTTAAATTTTTGAGTCAAAGCATTTTTAAAATATATAAATTGAATTAATCCAGCAGTATTTCCTTTAACAGTTGTTTCCTCAGCAGTCAAACAATATAAAGACAATATAACACCGGACAGTATCCAGATTCTCTCTGAGTTTTCCATCTTTACGTGGCTTTATTATTACTCTCTTTTTTTCTTTTATTTTTTTAATTTTTTGAAATAGGGTTTTTCTGTGTAACTCTTATCTGTCTTGGAACTCACTCTCATACCAGGTTTACTTGGAAATCACAGAGATCTGCTTGTCTCTGTCCCCTGAGTGCTGAGATTAAAGTGTGCCACCACACCCAGTTCCTCTTTTCCTTTTTATTATTTTTTAAACCATTTTATCTTTTCCTTTTTTTTTCCTCCAAAGCCTACGTATATTTTAGAACACACTGTAAACCTTTAGTGGTTTTTCTTAATGTGAATCTGTCTTTACTGTAAATCTTTATCTTTGTCTGGCCACGAGTCTTTATCTGCTAAACAACAACATTGCTAAAATGAAAGTCATACTTGTTTCTGTCATGGTTTACCAAAGATGGAGGCCGGTACCTTTACCGCCAGGAGTGAGAGCTGTGCTCACTGTCTTGGTTTGTGCTGCCATCCAACAGCATGCTGCCAGCTTGGAGATGTGGTCATTGCCATTTCCAGGTTTGATACACACTAATAAATTGTTAGCAGTGCTTTTTTAAAGCTGTGCAGTTTTTGCTTCTTATGTTGAGTCAGGAAATCTCTCTTAAAGGAGTCACGCAAATATCTGCTTGTCTCTCCCAAAGCAGAGTCCAACCAAGAAAAATGCTGCTAACAAGAAACCTTGCTTGTCTCTGTTCTTTTGTTTTTAAAACCCTTTGGAAAGCATTTGTTAAATTTTAAGTGGAAGTTCTTATTAGCCATGAGGGTGCCATATGTAAGGAGTAAGGTGCCCTCCGACTGGTCTTGTCCCGCTGCCACGCCAGCCCCAATTAACACACAGACTCTGTATTTGATATACTGCTGTTGGCCAGGTACTTGTTTCTTATTGGCTAGCTCTGTCTTAATTATTAACCCATTTCTATGTATTTCCATGTGGTCTTACTGGAGAGGGGGGCCGGCAGTTCTGTTTTTTCCAGAGTCTCCATCTTGATTCCTCCCTACTCCTTTCTGGAATCCTCCTTGTCTCCTAGTCCCGCCTACCTTGCTTTCTTATTGGCCAACAGTGCTTTATGCATTAACCAGTATGAGAAACATTTACAGAATGACATCTCCCATCACAGTATTGTTATTGTGTATTGGATTTAAGTCCTGAAAATGTAGTTCTCCAACCTATTCACCAGAAAATAAGGAAATAAAAAGAAGGAACACCTGCAAACTCCTTCCATGAAGGCAGATTTCTCTAATATTCCAAGCCATGTAAAGTTATAATCAAAAAGCAAAACAACAAACTTCTATTTTTGGTAAACAGATACAAAAATCCTTAATAAAATGCTACCAAACTGAATATAAGCATATATCAGGAAAATCATCCACCATGATCAAGTAGGCTTAATTCATGCAAGGCAGAGTTGGTTTGTCATATGTAAGTCAATAAATATATATCATTAAAATAGATATAAAGACAAAAATCACATGATCAATTCAATATACACATAAAAAGCCTTTGACAATCCAACACTATTTCTTGATAAATGTCCTAGAGAGAGTAAAACTAGAGAGAATAGTTCTCATTATATAGGTATAAACATAATAAAGGGTATATATGACAAATTCACACCCAACATTGTCTTAAATAGAAAAAACTCAAAAGCAATCCACTAATAATATGAACAAGATGGAAGTTTCCACTATCCCACTACTTTTTAGCGTGATGTTGGAAGCACTAGCCAGAGCAATAAGGCAAGAGAAGATAATTAATGGGGTATATAGGAAAAGGAGACAGACAAACTATCCCCATATTCAGAAAAAACAATATTGTACTTATAAGATCCAAAATATCACATCAGAAAACTTCTAGAAACAATTAACAATTTCAGCAAAGTGGCAGGATACAAAATAAGTTTAAAAAATTCAGTAATGTCTTTTATATACCAACAACAAACACAAGGAGAAAGAGATCATGGAAACACTCCCATTTATAATAGCATTAAAGACAATAAGATATCCGGGAATAAACCAAACCAAAGAGGTGTAAGGCCTCTACAATGAAAACATCAATTCTCTGTTATAAAATTAGAAAGACATCTGTGTTCATGGATTAACAGTAGTAGTATTGAAAGTTGATTCTAAGAGGTTTTTTTTGGGTGACTTTTAAAGGCTTTCTGTACATAAGATCTTCTTTCTCTGTTAGGATACAACTGTAAAGTTTTTCTGCCTACAGCCTCTGAAATAGGGAGATCTGTCTTGCTTACTATATTCTAGAGAAATTGTGTGTGTGTGTGTGTGTGTGTGTGTGTGTGTGTGTGTGTGTGTGTGATGCTGGACACCATGGAAACTCTCTTTCTTGTATAACTTTATAACTTTATCTGTGTTGAGGTACATTGACTTCATTCCTATTGAAAGATTTGTCATCAACAGGCACTAAATTAGCCAAATGCTTCCTATTTTTTATTTCTACCATAATAAATGAACTCAGATTCCAGATTTTAATTGAAGAAACTGAGTAAGTATGGAACCATGACAAAATTCACTTAATATCTAGAGTTAAGAGAAACATTCACAGAATGCCCAGGTTGTATGTGAGCATGTATATGTGTGTGTCCTAAGTGTTTATTTTGTTAATTAACTACAATACATGCCATCTGTCTACTTTCAACCAGCACTCTGACAGATTATAGATTCTATAGACAGCTACAACCCCTATTCCACATGCTGTTGCAATATGCTATTGAAACTTGGCCTTTTGAAGATGAGCAGATTCACAAACAAACAGAACACTGCGGAAATCACACTGTCTAAATCCAGCAAGGGCCTTTGGAAGAGCTAGAGGTTTCTGAACATTCCCACTTTATTTTCTTTAATTCTGAAAAAGGGTTATCAGGGCCTCTAGGGAAGCCGCCTATTATCCCTTAGACAGAAAGTCACTCTTAGGTAAAAGCCAGTTTTAGTTTAAGTCAGTGAGACCACCCTTTCAGACATGCAACCTGGTCAAGATTTCAGACCATGCTTCTATGACCACATCTAACACCATGCCCTGAAGGGGCCCAAAACAAGACAGGCCCAGAACATTCTTGTTATTCCCACAGGGCTATGAGAGACAGAATGCTATTTTAGGAACTTGGCTTTTGTTACACATCAGTAGGTTGACTATCATCCACTAAAACACTATCTTGGAGCCTTGGAAGTGTTTCCCACAAATTTATAAATCCCATCACACTAAGAAGCACCTTTGTCACACGGGCTCTTAGGAGACAGATTTCTATGTGATCTTGTGGTTGAGCTACATGCTTCTAAACAGGTCTACTTGCTCACATGTTAATACATTTTGGGAAGACTTTGTATAGAGAATATCTTCTGCTATTTGGGTCAACTGAGGGTTTGCTGAGGTGTCCTAGGGCAGACAATTATATTACCCAGTTCTGGATTGACAGAGGTTATGTGTAAATTGCCTTACTTCAGCAGGACACTGCCAAAATTCAGTTAAGCGCATGGTTGTGAATGTGGCCCTTGTGTATTTTCGATTGTGACTATGGCTACCCCCATTTATTCTGTTGATCTACAAGTTGTTTTTTGTTTTGTTTTGTTTTGTTTTTTTTAGAATGAATTCTACTATTTCAAACTTGTGAAAAATAACAATGGACCACACTTTCATCTGCCCTACATTTGTAGGAAACTAGCACATTGGGATTGGGGACTTCAGTAGGAACAGCTTAGACTGTCATTACAAATGTGCAAATCCCTGCTCACTTCGAGAGCACATATGTGCTCCCTTCAGCATCACATATACTAAAACTGGAACGATACAGAGATATTAGCATGGCCCCTGTGCAAGGATGACACGTAAATTTGTGAAGCATTCCATATTTTTGAACAACTTAAATCGTCATAAAAATGATAGACTGGACCAAAGAAAAAAGACCCCTTGACACATAATAATCAAAACACCTAACATACAGTATACAGAAAGAATATTAAGAGCAGCAAAGGAAAAACCAGGTAACAAATAAAGGCAGACCTATCAAAACTACACCTGACTTCTCCATGGAAACTCTCAAGAGCAGAAGGTCCTGGATAGATGTTCTACAAGTACTAAGAGTCCAGGGATGCTAGCCCAGGCTAATATACCCAGAAAAACTCTCAATCACTATAGATGGAGAAAATAAGATATTTAATAACAAAGCCAGATTTTCACAATATGTATCTACAAATCCAGTACAGAAAGTCTAGAAGGAAAACTCCAACCCAAGGAAGTTAATTACACTCACAAAGACACAGGCAATAGATAATCCCACTTAACCAGAACCCAAGGGTAAAGCAGGACAAATACATTCACAATACCACTGCCAACAACAAATCTAAAACAAACAAGCATTAACAATCAATGGTCCTTACTTTCCCTCAACATTAATGGTCTTAACTCGTCTGTAAAAAGACAGGCTAACAGAATGGATATGAAGACTGAATCCATCCTTCTGCTGCATATAAGAAACACATCTAAGCTTCAAAGATAGACATTACCTCAGGGTAAAGGGCTGGGAAAAGATCTTCCAATCAAAAGGAACCAAAAAGCAAGCAGGTGTGGCTATACACACCAAAATCAATCAAAAAAGATGATGGTGGTCATTCATATTTATCACAGGAGAAATCCATTAGCACAAAGTCTCAATTCTGAACATCTATGCCCCAAATATAAAGACACCCACCTTCATAAAAGAATGCTACTAAAACTCAAAGCTCACATAAAACCTCACACATTTATAGTGTGAGACTTCACCAACCCACTCGCACCACTAGACAGGAGAACCAGTCAGAAACTCAACAAAGAAACAAAAGAACTAACAGAAGTTATGTCTCAATTGGGTTTAACAGATATCTATAGAACATTCCATCCCAAAAGAAAATAATATACCTTCTTCTCTGCTCCACATACTAGGTGACATAACAAACCTCAATAGATACAAAAAAGTATTAACCATCCCCTGAATTTTATCAGACCACCATGCTATAAAGTTGGAATTCAACAACAACACAAATCGCAGAAACCCTACAAACTTATAGACACTGAACAATGCACAGTTGCACCATACATGGGTCAAAGAAGAAATAATTATAGAAATTAAGGACTTCCTAAATTCAACAAGAATGAGGACACAACATACCCGAACTTATGGGACATCTTGAAAACAGTGCTAGGAGGGAAGTTCATTGCACTAAGTACCCATATGAAGAAAACGGGGGATAGTCACATTAGAGAATTAACAGCACAACTGAAAGCCTTAGAACAAAAAGAAGCAAACTCACCCCGGAGGAGTAGATGCCAGGAAATAATCAATTTGAGGGCTGAAATCAATAAAGTAGAAACCTGGAAAACAATACAAAAAAAATCAATGCAGCAAAGAGTTGGTTTTTCATGAAAATCAACAAGATAAACAAAGCTTTATCCAAATTAATGAAAAAGCAGAGAGAGAGCATGCAAATTAACAAAACCAGAAACAAAATGCAGACATAACAACGAACACAGAGGAAATCCAGACAAGTTTCAGGTCATACTTTGAAAACCTGTACTCCACAAAATTTAAAAATTCAAAGGAAATGGACAGATGTTTGGATAACTACCACTTACCAAAATTAAATAAAGAACAGACAAACAACTTAAATAGACCTGTAAGCCCTAACGAAATAGAAACAGTCATCGAATGCCTTCGAACCAAAAACAAAAACAAACAAAAAACAAAAACAACAAACAAACAAAAACAACCCCCAGGGACAGATGGCTTCAGTGTAGAATTCTGCCAGACATTCAAGGAAGAACTAATACTAATACTCCTCAAATTGTTCCACATAATAGAAACAGAAGGTTCATTACCAAACTCTTTTTATGAGGCCTCAATCACCTTGCTACCTAAGCCACACAAAGACACAACAAAGAAAGAAAGCTACAGACCAATATCTCTCATGGACATTGATGCTAAAATACTCAATAAAATACTGGCAAACAGAATCCAAGAATACATCAGAGATATCATCCACCATGATCAAGTAGGCTTCATCCCTGGGTTGGCATGGCTAGTTTAACATACTAAAATCTATCAACAATATTCACCATATAAACAAACTAAAAAAAGAAAACCACATGTGGAAGGCTAGAAAAGCCTTCCACAAAATTCAACACCTTTTCATGATAAAGGTCTTAGAGATATCAGGGATAAAATGAGCATACCTAAACATAATAAGAGCAACATACAGTAAACGAACAGCTAACATCAAACTGAATGGAGAGAAGCTTAAGATGATTCCTCTAAAATCAGGAACAAGACAAGGCTGTCCTCTCTTTCCATATCTCTTCAATATTGTACTTGAAGCTCTAGCTAAAGCAATAAGACAACAAAAGGAGATCAAGGGGAAACAAATTGGAAAGGAAGAAGTCAAACAGTCTCTATTTGCAGATGATATGATAGTTTACATAAGCGACCCAAAAAACTCTACCAGCAAGCCAGCAGGATACAAGATAAACTCAAAAAAAATCAGTAGCCCTACTTTATTCCGACGACAAAGGGGCTGAGAAAGAAATCAAAGAAACATTACCCTTTACATTAGCCACAAACAGCATAAAGTATCTTGCCGTAACGCTTACCGAACAAGTGAAAGACCTATGTAATAAGAACTTTGTGTCTTTAAAGAAAGAAGTTTAAAAAGATATCAGAAAATGGAAAGATCTCCCATGCTCTTGGATAGGTAGGATAAACATAGTAAAAATGGCAATCTTGCCAAAAAGCAGTCTATAGATTCAATACAATCCCTACTAAAATCTCAGCACAATTCTTCACTGACCTTGAAAGGATAACAATCAACTTTATATGGAAAAAAAAAAGTCCCAGGATAGCCAAAACAACCCTTCAGGAGGCATCACCATCCCTGGCTTTAAGCGCTACTACAGAGCTATATTCCTGAAAACAGCCTGGTATTGGCACAAAAATAAGACAAGTAGACCAATGGAATCAAATTGAAAATCCTGATATTAACCCACACACCTACAAACACCTGGTTTTTGACAAAATGCCTAAAAGTATACAATGGGAGGAGGACAGAATCTTCAACAAATGGTGCTGGCAAAACTGGATGATGGTGTGTAGAAGACTGCAGATAGAAACATGGCTATTGCCATGCACCAAACTCAAGTCCAAATGGATCAAAGGCCTCAACATAAACACAGCCACACTGAATCTCTTAGAAGAGAAATAGGAGGTATCCTGAAAATATTGGTACAGGAGACCACTTCCTGAATATAACTCCAGTAGCACAGACACTGAGATCGACACTTAATAAATGGGACCTACTCACACTTAGAAGCTTCTATAAGGCAAGGACACAGTTGACAAGTCCAAAAGGCAACCCACAGACTGGAAAAAGATTTTCACCAATCCTATATCTGACAGATCTCCAAAATATATAAAGAACTCTTGAAACTAGTCAACAAAACACCAAATAACTCTATTAAAAAATGGGGTACAGAACTGAAGAAAGAATTCTCAACAGAGATAATCAAAAAGGCTGAAAGACACTTAAGAAAATGCTCAACATCCTTAGCTATCAGGGAAATGCAAATCAAAACAACTTTGAGATACCATCTTATTTCTGGCAGAATGGCTAAAATAGAAACACCAATGACAACTTATGCTATAGAGGATGTGGAGAAAGGAGAACACTCCTCCATTGCTGGTAGGAGTGCAAACTTGTACAGCCATTTTGGAGATCAGTATGTCAGTTCCTCAGGAAAATGGGAATCAGTCTACCACAGGACCTGGCAATCCCCCTCTTAGGCATATACCCAAATGATCCACATCCATGCAACAAAGACATCTGCTCAACTATGTTGATAGGAGCATTATTTATAATAGCAAGAACCTGGAAGCAACCTAGATGCCCCTCAACTGAAGAATGGATAAAGAAGATGTGGCACATCTACACAATGGAATACTACTCTGTAGGAAAAAACAATGGAATTGTGAAATTCACAGGCAAGTGGATGGAACTTGAAGAAACCATCCTGAATGAGGTAACCCAGTCACAAAAAGAGGAACATGGTATTTACTCGCTCCTATATGGATTTTAGACACAGAGCAAAGGATCACCAGCCTATAATTCACATGGCCAGAGCAACTAGGATACAAAGAGGATTCTAATAGATTCATATAAGGTCCCTCACAGAAGGGGGAAGGGAAAAGTTCCCCAGAGCACATGGGAAATGGTGGTGGTGGGGCAGTAAATGGAGAGGGAACTAGGAGAAAGAGAAGGGGAGGAGAGGAAAGCATGTGGGACTAGGAAGATTGAGCCAGAGGAGGAATAGAAGAGAGAGCAAGAGAGAGAACATAAAAAAGGGAGCTATTATGGGTTTGAAGAAAAAACTAAACCTAAAGAAATGTCCAGAGACCCACACGCCTGACTCCAACTAACAATTTGAGCAACAGTGGAAAGGCTACCATAAATACCCTTCCCTGATAATGAGATCAATGTCTAACTTATGCACTATCACGGAGCCCTCATCTAGTAGCTGATGGAAACAGAAGAAAACACCCACCACTAAACACTGAGCCAAAGTGGAATCCAGATGCAAAGAGGGATGACAAACCAGGCTGCAGAAACACATAGAGACAGCTAACCTGAACATGGAGGAGCCAATGGGCCCCCAGACTGATAGCTGGGAATCTACCATGGGACTGACTCAGACTCCCTGAACATTGGTCTCAGCTAGAAGGTCTAAGAAGTATAAGGGACCTCATACAGTGGAACTAGGATGTAGTCCTGGTGCACAAAATGACTTTGCAGGCACATCCCCAATGAAGGGATACTCCCTTAACCTAGAGATAG